TGGTACATACAATGTCTGTGTTCACAACACACAGTAATTTCATATGTAGGACTCTTCCTTGAATACAGACTGTGATACATGTGGAATTTCATTTGGGATGGCCTGGTTAGCAATCATGACTGCACATCTCAGACACCCAATGTCACCAACCCACAGGCAGGGCTGCTGTTCTTATTGGGGCTGCTTGCAACTAAGATACTCCCTCACTTTCCTAGGGACCAAGGTGAGGCTGACCAGCCTGTAGCTCTCTGGGGCCTCTTACCCTTTTCAAAGACAGGAGTCTTTTGCCTTGTTTTAGTCCTCAGGCATCTCTCCCAGTCACCATGATCATTCACTTATTGAAAAAGGCCTGACAAAGACATCAGCCTGTGCTGTCAGCACTCATGGGTTCATGGGCAGGTTCACGGGCAGGGGGATCGGAACTAGATAATCTTTAAGGTCCCTTCCAACCCAAACCACTCCATGCTTCTGTAATTCTCTGATTTATAAGTTATGTATGTCTGTTATTCCCTGACCTGATCTTCCTTCACCAAGGGTGCACCATCTTTACCCCAGAGCCCCTCTGACCTCTCGGGCCTGGGGTTCCTGAGGCCTGGTTTGCAAGTGAAGATCAAGGTAAAGGAGTCATTCAGTGCATCAACCCCTTCCATGTTTTGCCTCATCAGGTTCCCACCTCAGTCACCACTGGGCTGTGTGTCCCTTTTGTCATGTGGGTACTTACAGAAACCCTCCTTGCTGTCTTTGACATCCTGGCCAGGTGCAATTCCACTTCAGCTCTGGCTATCATAACTGCATTTCTGCATGCTCAGACACAGCATGAAGATTTGAATAATAATAATTGTTAATTAGCTTATGCACTTTTGTCCTGTAAACTGCCAGCCAGATGCTTTAGGGAATATATCTGTATGGCCAATCAAAACACTTCCACCCACACCCAGGCGTGCACATGCACGCCCCACACACTGCAGGAATCCTCTGAAGAGAAGGCAGAGGCCAGGAGCCCTGGAGGCTCAGGGGAGGATGATGGTGCACGGGTTCACAGCTATTGCAAAAAAACCCAAAATCATCTCGATATGAAAAGGAACTGCAGGTGTTCATTATTTTATTTTGACAAAAGAGAAAAAACTAGAACAACCAGTTGTATGTATAGAAACCTAGAACCAGAGCAGGTGTAAGCACATGGGTGACATCCTCAGCTTGTCCTCAGAATGAATCACATCACAGTGCTGACAGCACATCCTCTTGTTGTGCCTGAGTCCTGCTGCCACAGGGCTGCTGTGAACACAGTGCTGCTGTCCAAGGCAGACACAAGGCTGAGTAACCCCCATCCCAGGCTTTATATTCTCATCTAGGTTTTTTTCCAAAATATTTATATCTCCCACTGACTGCAGTTTGGGAAACCATGCTCCTGAATTTGTGAGAAACATCTGCAAAAATCCACCCACCTGCCTTCTTATATGTTCCCCATAAGACACTTGCCTGTTTTCCCAAAATCTGATGGATGGGTGGTTGTGTAACACAGGTGAATGGTGGCTGCTACCAGGCAAGCCAAAAAGCAGAAGGTACCAGATGGGCTTTGTCTCTGTTCTGCTTTCAGCAGCACAGGGGGGACTTGTTGTAGCAGGACATCCCCGACGGGGTAATAATTAGCATTGACTCCATGATTCTCAGAAGGCTGATCAATCACTTTACTACACTGTACTTATTAAGAAACTCATCACCCTTACAGACAGTCTGGTACAGTTTGACCCACTTGGTCCCTTTAAGTAAAACACCATCACCAGTGGTCAACCAAGAAATCACCCTTTGGTAAACAAATCTCCATAACACATTTCACATGTTCACATCAACAGGTGCAGCAAGTGAAGATAAGAATTGTTTCTCATTCTGTTCTCTGATCTTCTCCCAGCCTTCCCCAGGACAATGCCTGGGAAAGCTGTGCCTGTTGCTCTCTGTAACCAGAGAGCAGCTGCCACAGGGGTGGTTCCTGGGAGGAGGTGAAAGCTCTAACAGCAAGTGGGGCATCACAGTGTGTTATATTCATTGTCCTCCGTTCTGGGGCTAACGGGGCATTCCTGTCACCCTGCACAGGCTGTCAGCACTGCTGGGGTTGCAGGGCAGGGTGGAATTACAGATGACAATATTTACTTGTGAGAAAGAGGCAAAGCGGAAAGCAGAGTGGCGCAGCGGAAGCGTGCTGGGCCCATAACCCAGAGGTCGATGGATCGAAACCATCCTCTGCTAGGAATGCTTTTTTTCTGTTCCCTTTTTCCGGGAAGCGGAGCCATGGCCGGGCCAGCAGGTGGCGGCGCAGGCGTCTTCCCAAGGTGGCCGGTTAGCTCAGTTGGTTAGAGCGTGGTGCTAATAACGCCAAGGTCGCGGGTTCGATCCCCGTACGGGCCAGCTTAGCTTTTCCTGAGCATCAATCTTTTTTCTTCCCGTCCGGCTCTCCCTTTTTTGGCAATGATGGCGCAGGGAAATAGTCTGCAGGAAAGCAAGGATCCTCCCCGTGCTGCTCAGCCCTGGCGGATGGTCTGAGAGAGCTTCTCGGTTCTCCCCCTGTTCTCCCTACTCCTCCTTTTGCAGGTGTTCATTCCAGCTAAGGTTAACTTCACTGGTGCCCATGGCAGGTGCATCATCTCCAGCAGCCCTCAGACCTGGCAGTGACCTCAGCTGTGCCATGGCTGGATTCAGGTGTGCAGCACTAACCACTGCACCTGCTGCTGCTGTGCAGCGGCTGAGGGTCACACCTCGGCCACCAAGGTTTATTGTGGCCATCTGATGACAGGTAAGAATCAGCTGGGGTACAGATGGAGCCTTGCTGGGCAGGCAGGGCAGTGGAGTCAGTTGTCCTGAGAGAAGGACTCTTGGGGTGTCCCTCCTTGTGTCAGGATGCTGCCCAAGGTCACTCTGTGAGATTGAGAGCCCTCAGTCTGTGGCATTTTGTGTTACCCTTTTTTTGCACGTTCTGTGTTACCCTTCTAAAATCTTGAGAATTCGGAAGTCACTCAGGAAGTACAAATTCCACTTGACATCACACATCTCTGTGCAAATATTGACAGAGCCTTAATTAGTTTGATTTGCTTATCTGCTTTAACTGCTTTATAAGGCAAATCTCATAAAATTATCTGTGGATTTTATAAGCCTCCTTGGCAATGCTACAGTCAACGTTGCCCATTTAAATGGTGAATAATTGTCAGAAAGCAGGTTTGCACAGGAAGTGCATCAGTCAGTGTCCTGCCCTAAGGACCCCAAGAGTGACAAATGTCCACGTCCCCCAATTTCAGCCACCAGCGAGGCTCAGTGTGTAACCCCAGGAGGCACAGGCTGTCTGTAATCCCACAGTGGCAGAGGAGCATTAGATGCCACCCAGGCCATCGTATCTTCATCCCTCTATTTTCCCACACTTAAGGCTCTCCAAAACCACCTTGGTCCCTCCTTTTCCCCACTTTTCATTCCTGCCCTGAACATCCCATAAGTCACAATCTGAAATTGCTCTTTCCTTGTATCCCACAGTGTGACTTTGCCCCCAGTGAGGGACCAGCTGTGACCTGCAGTGGCCCCATTCACCCTCTGGCTGGGAGCCAGCTCTGAGCCCAACAAGAGCCCTGGGAGCTGCTGGGACAGGGAATCCCTGGCACTGTGGAGGTTCCCAGGGCTACTCCACCTCCCCCTGCTTGTCTTCATTGCAGAAGCTGAGCTCTTAACCACCTAACCTAATGTTCTCATGGGGTAGGAGTGTTCCCTGCAGCCCTGGCTGACCCTTACAACCCTCAAAAACACCCCACATCCTGCCCTGTCCCTTCCCGAGGTGCTGCACCCCAGCCAAGCCCCAGCAGCTTGGGGCAGGGGCTGCCCTCACTGCAGCTCCAGCAGCATCTCCAGCCCTGCAGAGAACAAGGCTGAGGGTATGAGAGGGGCTCAACACAGGGTATGGGGTGACAGGGGCCAGGGAAGGGGTGTCAGGGCTGTAGCTGCAGCTCAGACATGGGATGCAGCTCTGGGTTCTCAGGTGGGACCACTCTTGAGCACTGATATTCTAGAATTCGACCTTCTTCCTTGGTGCCACTTCCCTCCAGGGCTTGATCCCATGGGACTGTATCGAGCAGGAGGCCAAAGTCTGCTCTCCTGCTGCCCAGCATTGTGACCACAGCTTGTGCCTGGCTACCTCCTTCAAGCCTCTGAACTCCAGCACCTCAGTTTTACCAAGGGGAGCAGCTGCACTTTGTTATTTGATCAGAGTAGGAGAAACCCAGACCTTGCAAACCTCATTTTAACACCTGCTGAAGCAGGCTGGTGAGAGAGAGATCTTGAGTTTAGGAATCACCATCTATCTCCCATAGAATGGAGGCACTTTCTCCTAATTAGAGACATGGAATTCATCAGCATCCCCTGAGCTCCCAGAGCCATCAGGAGGCACGCTACTGCCTGGAGACCCTCTGGAACCATGCCTGGTAACACCTGAGCCCCAAGAAACCCACTCACCTGCTTTAGGTACTTGGGTATGTCCTGCCCTAAGTGATGGAGCTGTTCCCTCCCTTATCTGGCCCAACCTCCCCTCTGACCTGGCTCCTGAGGCAAAGGGGGCTGCAATGCTGTGTAAGTGAATAATCACATCAGCACCACTGGGAGGACTGAACCTGGGATTGTGTCTTGGGAGAGATCAATCTGGTGTCAGATATTGTAATATATGCTGTAAAGAGGCAGATGGGGAAACAGGAAAAGCCAAATGCAGGAACATTTCCAAGCAGCCTGCATGGCCAAAGGAAGTTTTGGAAATAAGAACCAACAGCTCTGTTTTCTGTATTACAAATCATGGTTTAAGTTTAATACATACAACACAAGCAGCTTCAACAAGCACAATTTACAATCATTGTCAAGCACTGCAGTCCATCTGTTCCAAGGCTCTCTCAGGCACTGCTGCCGGCCCCGCTGCCCTTGCCAGCGGCC